GAAGTGGGTCTGGAAAGTCAACAGTGATTGCTCTATTGCAGAGATTTTATGATCCACTCAATGGTGAAGTTCTTCTTGATGGGGTTGCCATTGATAAGTTGCAACTGAAATGGCTAAGATCGCAGATGGGATTGGTCAGTCAGGAGCCAGCCCTATTTGCTACCACAATTAAAGAGAACATACTTTTTGGTAAAGAGGATGCATCTTTTGAAGATGTTATTGAGGCTGCCAAAGCTTCTAATGCTCATAATTTCATTACTCAATTGCCTCAAGGTTATGATACTCAGGTTTGCCTCGCATGTCTTCTTGTTCCTTGCTTTTGTTATTTATAAATCACTCTTACGCTCGCTTTTGCAATCCTAATTTTCTGATTTTTCCACAATTCAACTTATTTTAAATTGCTGATGTTTCACAAGTTCCCACGTTTGATCATCCACTAAACTATTAGAATTTTCCAGATTATGTTGTGTTCAGTACCTTTCTTATTGGATTATCAGAGCTCATTCCTGCTACTAGTAACACTAACATTTAAAATCCATACAGGTCGGTGAGAGAGGAGTACAACTATCTGGAGGTCAGAAGCAAAGAATTGCTATAGCAAGAGCCTTAATCAAGGAACCGAGAATTCTCCTACTTGATGAGGCAACCAGTGCTCTAGACTCCGAATCAGAGCGAGTTGTTCAAGAAGCACTTGACAAGGCTGTGGAAGGACACACCACCATCATCATAGCACACCGTCTTTCCACCATCCAAAATGCTGACATCATTTCTATTGTCCAAAAGGGAGAGGTCATGGAGATTGGCTCACATGAGAAGCTTATTGAGGATAAAAATAGCTTGTACAGTTCGCTTGTCTGTCTACAGCAAATTGAGAATGAAAAAGAATCTGCAAATATTAATAGTGTTGCTGCATCAATATCCACTGCAAACAATATTCAGAACTCAGATAGTAAAAGACTATCAATTGTAGGTGAGGCCAGCACAAGTAACATAGCAGCACAAAACAGAGGAGCGAAGTTTGCATCAAATTCCTGTACTCAAGTTCTTCCC